AAATCTTCTTAGCTGTTTTGATAATAATCAATCATTGTTGCTTTGGTTAAAGGTGATTACATAGAGCAACACATGCTTCTGTCTGCTATACAAACATATAATCAGATACATTTTAAATTCCAATATTTCTATAATAAGATGTTACATAAGCTGTCAGACTGTGCACTTCCATATTCACTTGCATTCGTTTTCACATCACTTGCAACATACAGATTGTTTTAGTCCTTTTCCTTTGAGAAAATGGTGCAAGACTGGTGATTCATTTGCGAGTCACAAAGGCAGAAAAAGAAAGACAAGTGAGAGTGAATATGTGTTTGTGGATAGCGTGTGGACAAGAGAAAACATCTGTAAACTTGTCAAAAGCTGTGAAACGTTGATTTAGTGTGTTACGCCCCCTTGAGTTGCAGAATCATAGGAATCACAATGCAGGTCTGAATGAGCAAATTATATGTTTAGGTGGAAAAAAAGAGAAAAAACTGAGAAATTACCGGCTTTCTTACTTTATCCCAATCTTCAACAGGGTTTTTAATTTACTAAACCTATTACCTTAAATTTAAGAGTTTTGCCAATGCACAATCCAGGGCATATAACATGTCCATTTTCCCTTCATTGGCTTCCTGTCCAAACGATTTGTCTTTGTTCTCCTCTAACTATTGTAGACACATAGAGTAGTGCCCTAAGTCATATCAGCCACACACTCACAATACACAAGGATAGTTTGCTCACATTAGATGCTACATACATTAGCAATGCAGTGGACCCAGGAGGAAGTGTTTTTTGAGCTCATTTATCTATGTAACACGAAGAGAAGTGCATGGAAAACAGCATAGTTAATTTATGAACTGGATGTGAGGATGAGCGATGAAGGAAGCAGCTCTTGTTTGTTATGTTGTTGTCATCCTCGCTCTCCTTCCATCAAGCCTTTGTGACTACATATATAATTCAGGACTCAATGAATGATGATGGTTACAGCTGACCATAATGCCATTTATTTATTTAATTGAGTGCTGAAAATATCTGAGGCAAACGTGTAGCGTTATTAAACATGTTACGTTGTTGTAAGCTTCATCCATGTTAATTTTAGGAGATTCTGACGCGAATACGTGCCTCGGCCCCCTTTTTTATTGGTTTTATCTGAAACTATGAGCGGGCTGTGTTAGAAAATGTCCACTCAAATCAGGATATTAAAGAGTGCCATGTCTAAATTAACAAATATACACAACACACATATAAATAGATATCTCTTTTTAAAACAAAATGGCTCAATAGTATGCATGTTTTTGAGCAAGACATAGGGTGTTGACTGAATGAATGGCAACGTCAGTGTGTGTGTATGTATGTGTGTGTGTGTGTGTGTGTGTGTGTGTGTGTGCGCCTGCAGGCCTTTAGGGTATGATGTGCAACCAGAAAGATTGTTCCCATGCCAAGTGCCCATTAAGTGTGTGAGTATGTAAACATGTAAACCACCACAATATCATTAATTTTAACTAATCTACATGAATGGGTACTTCTTATAGAAATAGAGAAAGAGTGCATGACTAAAACAAAGGATGCTGCGAAAGGACCTACCCCAACACTGGTCAAAATTCATCAAAAAAAGTAACAAAGACACAAAGATAAATGGTCATCTACAGCCTTAGTTGGGAGCCATTTGCCGTAATTGTCCGATCCTTAATTGCTATAGCTTTGAAACTCTATTGCACTTCGCACATAAAAGCTATTTCCAAACCACACAACAATAATTAGCCATCTTGCATATAAACAAGTCGAGCACATTTGACTCGGTAAACACTCTAAATTACACTCTTTTAGCGGCTCTCGACACTTTGTCTGTTTGAATTTGGTGCAATTCCTGCGAGGCAACCCCTCTGACGCGGTCCCCATACGCTCTCACCCCAAAACATCACAGAACCCAAATATTAAAAAGTAAACGGCATAATACAGCAACCAATATCCCATCAAAGGCGCGGCTGAGAATATTAATATCGACAGTGAATGAGAAATGAGGCACTTAGACATACAAATCGCATTGGCGCATTTGCATAAAAACAAGATTAGCATATGCGCTAACACAGAAGGGAGATGTTCATAGTTCCATTTTCCCCCACTGTAAGGATGGGGTTGCGAGAGGAAAGATTGACAGTGTTGACTTTTATGTCGGAAAGAACACACGCTCGCAGGGGACGCATCAAAATTAGGCCGAAACATTTGCACAACACAGGCAGAGACGAATCATTGTACTCAAAAATTCCAACTCACTAGAACTCTTGTAGTACATACGTTACATACATAAAGCGGTGATGTGTGTCCCGCTTGTTCTCAATATGCCACTCAAGCTGCATCTGTTATCAGCCGTGAATGTTTGTTTATGCACCTGAGAGACGGGGCACTTGGGGTTTGTTCGCTCAGTCGGAACCTCCCTTAGCTTCACTTTCTCTAAGTCTGACGCCAGTGTACCCCTCGGGCTGCATTACTTAATTGGTGCGACCTGAAATGGCTAAAGCTTGTTACCAATGTGGAGATAAGATGATGTGCGGTTTGAGAATCAGACAGTGTGGGTAAACAATAGCAATGGCGAGATGAGATTAGTGATAGTGTTGAAATTGATTTAGAGGGAGGCAAGGGGGGAGGGAGGGTGGTGCTATTTTCCTGGAACGCTGTTAGAATTGGACACAAACTTTTTTTTCCTCTTCCACCAATGTACTTGAGAATCTTTGGCTGACTTCTATTTGACTGTAGCTCACAATGTGCACATGTCAACACTGATTACAACATAAGCTACCTATATTAAAGATTGCAAATTGTTGGGTTAATGTTTGACTGCTTAGTTCATGCCAATCCCTCGAAAAACAACATAGTGTCAGTGAGGACAACAATGAGGTCCTCCGAGATGCCCAGGACCCAGCTCTAATGCGTAGGTCACTGCTCTCAACAGAACGGGAACGGAGCAAGTGGGACGCGGTATTGGGCTGTGGCGAGGGTGAAGCCGCAAGTCAGGCTTCCTCAAGCTGTTTATTCGTGCTCCAGATAAACAAGACAATATGTTTGTATTAATTGTCTATGGCAACTCAATAAACAAGTGTGCCCTTCTCCAGGGAGGAATGATGAGGATTGACAGGACAAAAGGCCTGTTCCCTGGGGTCATTCGCCCCACTATTTGAGAAGGACTGCACTAAGGTCAACCTGTCATGAGCAGTGCTCGCCTCAGTGCAGCACATGGGGAACAAACTTCGGATGTTGATGCCGGCTTCGTCAGGGCAACCAGAGCTTGGGGATATTACCATGCATGTTTTGGGTGGCGGAGGAAACCAGAGCATCCAGAGGAAACCCTGTAACAGCCTGAGTCCTGGATCTGTATTCTCTCCTCCAAAGTTTCTCACTTATTCCCACTGGGCTTGTGAGTTGAGTTGTTCCTTGCCGATGCATGAAGGTCTAAGGACAATGTCGATCTGAGACACTCAAGGATATATTTGGAGATTGGTCATCCCTCTCCCTGGAATAAAGGCTCCTATTGTTATTATTCCCTGTGTTCAAACATTTTGATTCTCTGAACTGTCGTTGGTGAATCAACAACTTTTTAAAGTCCACTAAGGAAAATGTTGTTGTGATTTAGGGCTATACAAAAACACTTTGAAATTAAACTCCATGGAAGAAGGCATGGAATCAAACCACACAATCTTCTTGCAATGATACCTACAATAGACAATCAGGCAATCCTTTCCTTATACTGCATTTAGCCATTTCTTTGTATAAAACCTATACTATACAAAGTTGATAATTCTACAGACATGACTATAAGTGAATGTGAGCTGTCACCTCTATGCACCTGTTTGCATTTTGATACTTATGGAAAAATGCTGGCATATAGCAAGGCCGTTGTGCTGCAGTGGAGTCATAAAAAAATCTATTTGTATTCACCAGAAGCAACGGAAAAAGCCGGGCCGTTACTTCACTCCCACTGCAATCAGAGCAATCAAACTTAAACAGGACACTTCAAAGAGGCGCACAAACACTTGTAATCAAACATGAGCCAAATTAGTCAGATGTTATGTCAGTCCATGGTTATTTAGGGACGCAGAAGTATGGACTTGGATTGGTCAGTGTTGCCTTTTCTTCAAACATCAATAGAACATGTTTAATGACATGGCCGGGAATGATGAAGCTAGTGTAACAGCGAGATGGCATCATTTTGGAAAGAAGGCGCAGAGGAGAGCTAAAGATAGCCTCTGTGTCGCAGCCGTGGCCAGTTTAATAGCCCCGCTGACACTGAACGGAGGTGTTATCCGCTGCTCTGTCTGCCTCGCTCTCAGATGGCTGTGAGTGCGAATTGGAAAGACAAGATGACATTTCCATTCTGTGCACTTTTCCCCAAAAACACTCGTTTGCGATTGGTATATGCATATATTTCACGCTGCCATTTGTATTTGTTTTGTGGTAAACAGACTTGACATTGACGTATACAGTGTACGTCAAAAATCATGTAAATATATATTGGTACAAACTGATAGGTTTTATTCTTTTAGCTGGGATGTGGTGTGAAATAGAAGTCATAATGGCAAAAGTTCTCTCAATGTTAAATTTGAAAGTGCTAAAAATATCTTGAAGGGGCTTAAGCAAGAAAATGGAAAAAAAAAAACATTTAACATGTTGTTTTTCAGTTTATAAAAGGGCTGCAAAGAGTAAGTAGTGATACTAAGATGTAGCAGAAATTTACTCAACAGTTTTTTTAAGGTTTTTGATCTACTGTAAATTAACACTTTTATGAAATGTGGTGGCACAGTGAAAAGGGAAAAAAATAGATACATATGCGGGTATATCACCCAACCAAATAATCACTGTGGTATTGAAATTGGTATCGAGTGTTGATTACCAAGTACCAAAAATTACTTTTATAACTTTTATAATTTTTATAACACCACTTTATCAATCTAAAATAGCTTTTAAGGTCCTGACCACATGTGCCATTGTATTGCTAAAGAGAGGCCAGAGTTGACACATACCGGAGCTGATGATGCCCGGGTCACCTGGGCACGAGGCAGTGTTGTTGCACATGCGTGTCTCCCGTAGCGCACCGCTGCACAGGGTCCCATAAGGAGAGGACACGCATGAGCGCGTCCGCACCTGCCAGCCCTGTCCACAGGTCAGAGAGCACATACTCCACTGAGACCACTCCTCCGCCGCGGGGTCGCCTGCACCACAAACAAGACAGGCCCATGTAAATGTGCTCACTGGGCCAAGGGACACGGCGTCTACATCCACATGCTGTAGCTTAGGACTTTACAGAATACGTAATGTGTGATTAAGAATTCACTACGTTTAAATGTTGATGCACTAAAGACAAACACAAAAGCTTTAAAAACTTGACTTAACTCGGAGTGTATTGACTTTAATAAAGTGCATAAAAGCCCAAAGGCTCTGCGAAAAGGAAAAAAAAGAAAGAAGTGAGATGTAATATCTATTTTAAAGGCCATCCATTACCATAGAGACCAGTGGATTTAATATTGGTGTTGTTGTGAGGCTCTTTTGTTTGCATAGACTTATTTAGCCCACCAATGTTACCCATGCATATAGTACTGCAATAAATAATGATTCTTAAGTATATATAGAGCCTACAACTATAAACTATGAAAAGCCTGAGGTCCCTTGGATAAGACCATTGAAGTTGCAAGACAACAATTAAGCGGTAATTGAATTACAAGGCCCTTTGAATATTCATGCCGGTTAAGCTGCATGACGCTAGGCTCTGAGGTGATAGAATAATAACCCATATGATTTATGAGGTGAGCGCTGGAGGGGCTGCGTACGATCAAACGCACTTTGAGAGGTGTGTACGGCAGTGTGTTTGTGTGCTGCTGTGTTCTGGCCCACGGCTGAAGAAGACTATTCCTTCTGTCTGATCATTTCCTCTTCAACAAGTATCGTCCTTGAAAGAGAACAACATTAGCCTGTCTCTTCGTTCCAAATAGTTTATGAATGCCATGTCCTTTGATGGAGGCGTCATCGCACGGCAAAGGAGGAAATCAAATTAATTGCATGTCCGTTAATCGCATTACATCTTCATTAACATGCTCTGAGTCAAAGCTTAAGCTTGTCACAAATGCCTGCAGGAGCAAAGGAACGCAGGGGAAGAGAAGGGAGGGAATACGACAGAGGAGGAAGACAGAGCCACGGGTTTCCCTCACAGGGGGACGGTTTCCTCTGCTCCTCCTGCTGCTGCACTGTGCCACCCAGGCAATCTCAGGCGCACTCCCCTTCACATATGTGGAGCTTTAACGGCTTACACAATTCATTAATCAGCCTCTCCGCTCCGATCAGGATCCATTATGCAAATCTTGAAAGTCACACGCAAACTAAAAATCACATCCGCCAAAAGGTCAATTAGAGGCATTATTACTGGCTGAACTACGCAATAAATTACAGCCCCCAGAAATGTGGGATAAGTCAATATTTCATAATACAGTCTTGGGTATGTATGTGGAAAAGTTGGGTATATCGGGCCACCATCCTCTGCACAAAAATTATATGCAAAAGGTTGTGTTCTTGATCCAGAATATTGTGTAGATTTTTTTTAAAGAAATGTCAAAAAAGAAAATATACAAATGTGTTCCTAGATGATGAATTAATTGAACAAAGTCGCCATAGTATTATTATGACTCAAAGTCCTTTGTATTGGCTGACAATGGAATGTGTCACCACATCAAGACACCTTTATGAGAAAACAAAAACACTACTGAGAGAGAAAACGTGGAACTGTGTGACAGTTTTGTTTCATGTAGATAGGACCAGGAATTAGAGATAAATTAGCGCTAAACAAAGACGGTATGACAAGTGACAGTAACCATAGTTACCAGGAAAGATTGTTCAGCCGCTCTCCATCCTAATGGTTAAATTATAGGCTCTTTGAAAAGCTGAGATGTGGCTGCAATCTAAGCTTCTGATTTATATACTCAGTAATTGAGAGAGATGCTGACAAATTTGCATGGACATTGCTTTAATAATAATAATAATAATTGATGTTATGTATAATGCACTTTACAATTTGAATTAATTTATGTCTGGAATTTCTTGAATTGCCAGGGTGCGCTTAAGAAAATAATTATTTCTAATTTAGAAAAATAAGAAGATAGAACTTTATATGCTGGTGTATATAGGTATTGATGAATTGTAAAAGTCGAGTCTCTTTTCACAATATTATGGCATTTCTTATAATCACAAATTGGGACATTACTCAAATATCAGCCGAGATGTGTTACTTTCTTTCTCACACCAAAGGCTTCTGCACAGCAACAGTCCAGACACACTCATCTTAGCCACACATTCGGAGGGCTGAGTGATCTGGTGTTCGGTGTGGCTACAACCTCCACACGCACACACTCACCCACACACTCACCTGTCTGTGCCTGAAACACACCTGGCTGGTCGGCTGAGCGTGGTCTCTGGGTCTTCACTTTGAGGTCATCGTCGTACGGATCTGAGGAAAACAAAAAGAGGTAGGATTGTTATCAATAAATTATAAAGTAAGTTAGTATTCTTTACTGATATTGCAACCAGGGTCACAAAAAACGCTGTATGGGTAGCATCCATTGATAATCTTGGCGAGACAAGGAAGGGCAAGTTATCTGTATAGCATGGTTCATAAACAAGGCGACTCAAGGTGCTTAATAAAACAAGACAGTCCTATGAAAGTAGAAGCCTGTAGAAGTCTGTAGGTCCAGATTGTAGCTGTACAAATCTGGAATTATCTAGAGAAAGAGCAGCAAAAGAACACACATATTCTGATGTTTTCTTGATGCTGTAGCCTGTTAGTATGTTTTGCTTGTGAAATCAATTAAGATACTTTTCAATTTTTTGTACATTGTGTAAAAAATCAGAGGACCACATAAACTGGCCTCCTGCTGGGACCATGATGAGTAAAGGGACTGGCCTAATGCGGGACCATGATGAGTAAAGGGACTGGCCTCCGGCTGGGACCATGATGAGTAAAGGGACTGGCCTCCTGCTGGGACCATGATGAGTAAAGGGACTGGCCTCCTGCTGGGACTATGAGGAGTGAAGGGACTGGCCTGTTGGGACCATGATGAGTAAAGGGACTGGCCTACTGCTGGGACTATGAGGAGTAAAGGGACTGGCCTCCTGCTGGGACTATGAGGAGTAAAGGGACTGGCCTGTTGGGACTTTGAGGAGTAAAGGAGGAGTGTGCATACTGTACAACTGAAGGATAATATTGTTTATAATGTACTGTATAATGTAATGGTGCATTCAGACCGCAAACACTCAAACGCTGAAGCCCCGCTCACCAGACGCGCATTCTCTAGTTTTCAGACGCAGAGGACTTCACACCAGAACGTCCTGACGCGAGCCGGAAGTACCGGATGTAGCCGGCCGGCTCTGATGCTATGCTACACTATGCTAGCGGCTTCTTGTGTACAGATCTTCTCCAATATGCAGCTTTGCAGCGTGTCTTTGAACAGAGACTTTCCACGGGCTTTATATAACAGTAGTATGTGTTCACGGAGGTGCGCCATACGTGTTTTCATATTATTAAACGGTATTTCCGCATCGGTGAACACACTCGAAGCAGTTGCATAAGGTCACGGGAGCATGACAACGCATATTTTCACAAGCACAGAGTCCCCCATTGTCAACCCTGGTTTGAGTTCTGGTGAAGCCTGGTGTGGGTCCTGTTTTGGCTGTTTATGAGTTTTTTCAGTCCGCTCAGTCCGCTAATGTCCCCGTGACCACTTGCGGCTCTCTGATTGGTTGTCGCACGAACGTCCCAAGGAAAGGATGAGCGGAATCCGTCTCCTGTGGGCGTCGATTTTTCGCTCCTGCTCCTCCCCTTTGACTTTCCCGCCAAGTCCGTGCGTGTCGACTGAACAGTCCGTTCGTGCGTGCCGAGAGGTCCGTGCGTTGTGATGCTGCAACGCGCGTCACCATAGACTTTGCATTGAAACCCGACGCAACGCATGATCCGGTCTGAATGCGCCATAATGCCTAAGGATTTTAATGTATTTCCTTGTTTTGTGAAGCACTTTGAATTATCATGTGTGTGAAATACAAATAACCAGTGTTAAACATACATCTTGGGTGCAAAAGAAAACAGTGTGTGCAATGTGTGTTTTACTTCTGTCTGCACCATAAATCAGTTAGATCCAATGTTAAGAGGTGCAAGTGATTTTTGCACAAATGCACCCTTGATAAATATAGCCCCTAATGTAGAACGTCACTAACAGTTTGAAATCAATGGAGGCTAAAACCCATTTATTCACCTTCACTGACACCATAGATTTGGTTTCATTCCATTTTAAATTCAAAGTTGATGTTGCAACACCTGCATTCTTGCACACATATTGAATAAGAGCAAACTTCAGATCCGTGTGAAAGAAAATCAATTCAAATCCACACTGTAATAGGAGAAGCTCTTTCCCTAATCTTTCCAGCAATCATTCACAAAATACGGTAAAAGTTGGATAAAAATAATGACTCTTCCACTACATCTCTTTCTCAGCTCTGTCTGCAAGAGAAACCTTAATTCATGTAAAGATCATTTTCTCACTCAAGTACTTTTTTCAAACCCAGGGGGATATTTCCAGAGAATTTGCACTAAGTACCAAATTAGAGAAACATTCCCAAGTTGAATTATCCACGTGAAATAGTTTTTGAGAATTATATAACGCACCCAAAATGATGACACTAAATGAAACCAAAACCTTGTTGTGGTTTTTTATGAAGCGAGGGGCTTTTTGGGAGCTGTAGGCAAAGGCGACACAGGACAGGCTCTGCTCACTCCTTTGCTTCTAATTCGGCCCGTGTGTGTGTGTGTGTGGCGGACGAAATGTCTGCTTTATTTGATGCCACAGTCTTTCATTCACTCTAAGCTCTTTTTCATTCTTTCGTTTGGTTTTGTTCTCAGCAGGGTGACTCAGACAAAAGCCCTAAACAACATATTTAAACAGAAGAACAGCGTGGAGCAGTGTTCAGAGAGAGCGATATCTTCAGCTGCCTAAACTGCAGCACTGTGTCTTGTCGTACTTGGTTTAAAGATGTCATGGAGAATGTTTTCAGGAATTAGGGAAGAACATGATATACATCTTGTTAGACATCTCATATACCCATTTTATTTATTCATTTATTTTTTTCCAAAATATCTTTTCATTGATACATACATAAAAAAGCAATGGAAACGGATAAGTGAAAAGATATAGGGTGGGACCATACACGTTTTTTTCCTACACCATTTCAGGCTTTAACGGGAGTGAACACAGGAATCCCTAAAATGTACGTATAAATCTGTGTTCATGTTCGTATGTATGTTTGTATCCTGTATAGCAGGTGTCTCCAACATTTTTCACCCTGAGAGTTATACTTTCCAGGGATGATAAAGGCAGAGAGCCACTCCTTTAAGCATCCCTGGTGGAAAAAATAAATAAGATATATTGAGTGAATTGAGTGAATTTACAATAATTAATAATGATAATGAATAAAACATTCTGAAATATTAATTGTATTATTTGATTTGTTAATTTCTAAATCTGTTGGGGAGCTACCTGGAAGGGGGTGGCGAGCTAGTGGTGGCTCCCGAGCTACAGGTTGGAAACCCCTGCTGTACAGTGTTGGTCAGTAACGTGATAAAACCAACGCTTAGTGTAATCCTATTCCTTTTTCTGAGTAAAAAAAGATAAAAAGTAAAGTAATTTACTTTCTTTGAAGAAAGCAGCATCACAATGCTTTACTTTTGTTGTCTCGTTGTGAGTGACAAATGAATGACATTTGCACCCATAGTGCAGTTCACACCCGACAATACCTGTATATTCTAAGCCATCACTCACGCTTACGTTGAGCCTGAGGCGGAAAAAAAATAGCCAGAAAAGGTCCAGGCGGATTACAGTTAGATTTGCTTCTCTTTTTTTCTCTTTAGCATAGGACAGGCTGGAGAAGAGTGAGGTGAAGGTATGTGGAGTTGAAAAAATAGATCAATATGGATAAACCCCTGAGTGAAGTGACCTTTGTAGACAGCACTACCTTGTTTAATGTTCTGGACTGTGTTTTAATGGACACATGATCGCATACTTCATCTCCCAACCCAACCCTCTTTCCACCAATTTCAGCTATTTTCCTCTGTGGGGAATCTGCACCTCTTTCATGCGTGGCTTTATCACTCCATGCTCTACACGCACGGTCGATAAGGGGCGAATAAGGACGTACAGTATATGGTCGGTCTGTGTTGTATGCTATACGTCGGCAGATCAAACAAGCACAAAGGCATTGGAACTGTAGGCTGCAAACACTTTCAAATGTAAAAGAAAGAAGTGGAAAGTTTTTGAATAAAGTGGAATTTAAGTACATAATGTAGTAGAGCAGAGCTGGCAGTGCACAAAGCAGAGCGCTTACAGTGTTCAAAGGAAAGTATTAAAGATAAAAGACCGTTTCAAACAGAATGGCAGCTGCGGCGTTGTCACGGTGATGCCTGTCAGTCATTCGGCAGGCTGCGACAGTGATTTGTGTGAAATGGTGTACCTATGACTGACACACTGCCACAGGATATCGCTTTGGTTTCAACTTTTCTACTTTCTCTTTCAAATGCAAGCGCAAAATGGCAGAGCAAAGTGCACATTTGTCGTGGTCCGTTTAAGGTAGCCGAATCCTGCCGAATGGAGGATTTTTCGAGTCGGCAAGTTGTAATCTCCCAAAGAAAGAGTGTCTTTTATGCTTCACAACTTCTCAATGTATCAGTAAGCTAGAACAGGTTTTTATTTAAATGGCCTGCCACTAGGTCATTAGATAATCATTTTTGTATGTATTTAACCTGGATTACCAACATTTGAAACTACAAAAACAAAACAATCCATGTAATTTGTGGAGGAAAAGCTGTTGATTAGCTTTCTTGTATATATGATCTGAGTGGGGCTTCTGTTGAAGTGTGTTGGAGATTTGGGCACCCAGGAATCTGATGGATATGGGTTCAGAAAGGGGGTTTACTGTCATGTCATTTTCTATCCCTTTATTAATCAATTTCTGGGCCGGGGGGGGTACGGCAATCAGAGCTGCCACCCAAGTCTCATAGCACCAGTCCCTCGCTGATCCTCCAGCTGAGCTACTGTCGCCCGTTTACTGTTTGGACAGTATTTACTATTGCTACTATTTGTTGATAGTGGTGATGTTCGTTAATGTTTGTTATGGGTGAAATTATGGTGCTGTCATCTGCATACTTGACTGAGCTGTGTGTGACCGTGAGGTCGTGTGTATACAGGGACAACAGCCAGGGAGAGAAAACACAGCCCTGGGGGATTCTGAGGGTTAAATGTCCACATAAGAGATCGGCCTTCTTGACTCTCTGTGTCCTTGTGTTGAGAAAATTGTAAATCTAGAGGCACATTGGGCCTCATTCACGAACGGTTCTTAGGAACAGATTTGTACGTAAATCCTACTTACGCGGTTTTTACGAAGAAAGTGGCATTCACGAATATTTCTCGTAACCAGAATTTCTCTTGGGCAAGTACAAATCCTACGAGTCCTCAGGAGCACTCGTACGCATTCAGTGCCGACATGTTCACAGCCGGGGTTGTCCTCTTTGGTGAAGTTGAATAAAAATACAACATTCCAGTGATATGTCCGTCATATCGATGTATGTATTTATTTATTTGTAGTAATCTTTATTAGTAATCTTTATTTATATACCGCCTTTTTCACTGCAGATCTGGCCTACTTTTTAATTCATTTTGAAATGAAATGTGCCAACGCTTTATCAAATACATTGGAAATCTTGCCGTGTATTAGTGACCCCTTCCTATTTATAGGGGGCATTTCTTTATCCACGGGCCACAGAACAACGGCATATATACTGCTGCTGCAGGAGGTTACTGGGTCCGCGCTGAGTCTCTGCGCTGGTCTCTCCCATGGATCTATACGGGTCTGCGCTGGTGTCTCCCATATACGGGTCTGCACTGGTCTCTCCCATGGATCTATACGGGTCTGCACTGGTCTCTCCCATATACGGGTCTGCACTAGTCTCTCCCATGGATCTATACTGGTCTGCACTGGTCTCTCCATACGGATCCGCGCTGGTCTCTCAAGTCTGGTCTATGCGGTCTCTCTTCGGTCCGCGCTGGTCTCTGCGCACCGGTCTCTCCAGTCAGGTCACTACAGTCTATGCGGTCTCTCCAGTCAGGTCACTCCAGTCTATGCGGTCTCTCCTATAGGTCCGCGCTGGTTTCTGTGTGCTGGTCACTCCAGTCTCTCCTCGGGTCTGCATTGGTCTCAGCGCTGGTCCGCGCTGGATCTCCTCCCAGGGTCCAAAATATTTTGAGATTAATCTCAAAACATTTTGAGATTCATCTTTAAAATAATACATAATATATTAAGCTCATAACATTTTGAGATTAATCTCATCATATTCTTAGATTAATCTCATAATTTTGCTAGTTCGACTTTATTATCATAATATTTCGACTTTTAAGTCAACATTTTATAACTTTATTCTCAGTCTGGTAAAAGAAGAAAAAAGGGTGACTTTTGCTCCGTGTAAAGGCCTGTTGCTGTTTCCTCTGCCGTCTGCACACGGCCCTGCAGTCCCTTATATGGGCATTAGTGGGCGGTTACTTATGCTAAGTACCTATGCTAATGAAGCACCTGGCACGCGCGCTCTACTTACGAGGAAATGGGATTCATCAATCTGAGAGAACAGCTGCGAACAATTCAGCGGCTTACGAGTGCGTTGATGAATCCCACGTGGGGACTTCTTAGAAATCTACTTAAGGACAACTTGAGAAGAAAGTTGAGTAGTTTCTTACGAAGTTATTCGTGAATGAGGCCCATTGTTCTGGGAATGTTAATTTCCAGGAGTTTATTTAGGTGATTGGCTGGGAATATTGTAATGAATACAGAACAGACATTGAGAAACAGTGCCGTTGTCACTACACTACACTACACAGAATTTTTCTCCAGCTGTGTTTCAGGCACAACGGCACTCAGAATATCCAGACACATATCTTTAGGGACCTGTCACTGGACAGGTGTACATTGCCTCCTGTCCAGAAATGTGTATTAATACACAATGTCCCTGTCAAGTAAACTAATAAATAATAATAATAATACAAATCTGTTCAATACACCTCAATAATGTAAACAAACAAAAACAACCACATTAATAAGATGTAATCAGCTATTAACAAACTTTTGGATTAACAACCCACATCATCTATTTTTTTTAGAGTGATATAATGTTGACAATTATGTGAGGAATATATTGATAATTACAATAGTGAGTCATATATGGCATATTGTATCGTATCTGAAGGGACTCAGAGACTCCCAGTCCTAATTCAAACTTCCTCAAAGAAGAATATACAGGTTTGCAGTATTTGTGCTATGATTTGTTGCAAAAGAGCAGAATAACACTAGTTTTTGCCTGATTATCCAGAAATATGGTGCCTCACAGCCAGCTAATTTGTGAAGCTTTCATTTGTACCTGAACCTGTAGGATGCCAATACTGTATAACAAACACATATTTGTAAATTATCAACGCTTTCATAATTTCCTCATTTGACCTATTCCAAAGGCGTGAAAGAAGGACACAAAAGTCTCATGTCTGCCCTGCTGCGTCAATCACTCAGCGGGCAAAGGCTGATGAAAGATTCTCCATCACACTGCAGAGATCGCCACAGTCTCCGTAAACACACACAAACAGAATTAGCCCACAGCACAGCGAATACCTAATTACACACATTAACGACGACAACAGAGCTTTAAAATACCTTGGTGTGGCGTGCGGCCGTGCTGAGACGAACACCTGTGCGAGAATGAGTGAGTACGCTGGAAAGATTATTGCAGAACAGATGAAGGGTGCGGACTGGCAGCTGGGACATTGTTTCCCTACTTAAATAACCTAATGATACTATGAAAGGAATAACAACCAAAACGATAAAAACTATAGGTAAAATCCTCCAGCTCTGGTAGTCCTGACCAAGAGCATCAACATCTGGAGATGGGTCCACTGTGGCAAATTATATTTTGTTATGTTTACAAACAAAAAGGCTCAGGATAAAGAGATCAATAAAAATGACAAATATGTGCAAGAATTTGTTTTGAGCAGAGATTCAAAACATGCATTGTATGAGAAATTAAGCACAAAAATGCATTTTGACTGAGTGATTGGAAACCCATGTTTCTAACTATTTTTTGTTCATATTTAGTTTGAGCCATTTTCCCTTTTTAGATATTAACCATTTAATCTGAGCGTGAATCGTTGGTACTTCATTTCAACATGAATAATGCATTCTAACGCACTAAATGACACCATAACTGACGAACCTGGGGCCCCCGTCTGTGCAGACTCTGATATATGGTTTAAGAGGCATGAAGAGGGACATATGGTAACCTTGTAAAACAAATGTGTAAATCAAATAGCATGTAAAAACAGTGAGACACTTCGCTGCCCACACCATGTATAGTGTATGAGAGTGTCCAACCAGGCAAAATGAACACACACAAACACGCACGCACACAGCTATTTTCAGCCATATATCAAATCTGAGCTTATGGCTTTTCTGGTGCTGGTCATTTACTCCAGGGTCCATCTGGGAGAGCCCAAACTGATAGAAGTGCACCATAATGGGCTTTTTATAAGCTACAGGACAGCCACATCCACTCCATCTGGGCATGTCTCCCCTCTCTCTACTCGCTGCCTTCCCATCGTCGCGTGGCAGATATAAAGAAAGAAGTGAATCAGGTTGGGACTGCACAGCCTCTGCCTTACTACAGGGGGCCCAAGGTCAGTTATGTGCCTTCAAAATGGATTCAGAATTGAGTTTTCTGCACCCTGGCGTTGACCACTGTTTTCATATCAGTCGCTCATACATACGGTTCTGCACCTTCACAGCTATATACACACGGATAAACACAGAACCGGGCAAATTCCTCTGCCACCAAATTGGCTTTGTTTCATTTCGTTCGCAGTTTCAAATAGTCTTTCTTCCAGCTATATTTTCACTTTCTTATTAGATATTTTCAAATCTCCAGGTTCAAACACCGCCTCGTCAGTTTGTCAGGCTGTACCTTAGAATATAGACTGGATTTGAGATTTCAGGACAGGTGTTATGCTAACTTTCACCACACCAAAAATACATAAATAGTGACCTCTTTCATAAGGCCAATGTATTGCTTCACAATACAAAAATAATGCTCGACAAATAATGACACCAATAAAAATACAAGAGGAATGAGTCCAGAGGGATCAAAAAACGGGATCAACGTCTTGGACCAACTTA